AGCGATCTGGCAGTAACCACGGATGAAACGTCGATAAAAGTTTGCAAACCCTAAAAAGCGTTGTAGCTCCTTACGAGTGGAGGGAACGGGCCAGTCGAGGACAGCTTTAACCTTTTCGGGGTCTGAGCGGACACGCCCCCTCCAGGATGAGACCCAGGAACATGACTGAAGGCTTGTGGAACTCACACTTTTCAGCTTTAACAAAGAGTCTATTCTCGAGAAGACGTTGGAGGACCTGCCGCACATGGAGTCTGTGTTTTTTGATGTTCCGTGAGTAAATGAGGATGTCGTCGATGTAAACAAAAACAAAAAGATTCAGATAATCTCGGAGGACGTCATTAACGAGGGCTTGGAACACAGAGGGAGCGTTACATAATCCAAAAGGCATGACTTGATACTCAAAATGTCCCAGAGGCGTCTTAAAGGCAGTTTTCCATTCGTCCCCCCGGCGGATCCTAACCAAGTGGTAAGCATTACGTAGATCTAACTTGGTAAAGATGGTAGCTGACTGGACCGGTTCGAGCGCAGAGGAGAGGAGAGGCAGTGGGTATTTGTTCTTAACGGTAATCGCGTTTAAGCCGCGATAATCGATACAAGGGCGAAGGGTGCCATCCTTCTTACCCACGAAGAAGAACCCAGCCCCGAGAGGAGAGGACGAGGGACGGATTTGCCCAGTTGCTAGTGACTCCTTTATATATTTCTCTAGGGCCTGCAGTTCAGTCTGAGAAATATTATAGAGGCGGCTAGAAGGCAGCGGGGTGCCGGGCAGCAGGTCAATGGCACAATCGTAAGGGCGATGAGGCGGCAAAGAACAAGCCTGTGATTTGCTAAAGACCATCTTAAGGTCATGATAGCATTCCGGTACCGACACGAGGCTCTCCGGATCAACCTCCGCTGGAGGATGAACAGAAGATGGGCAAACAGGAACGGCGGATAGCAAACAACGTGAAAGACAAAACGGAGACCAGGACTCCACCCGTCGATCAGACCAGTTAATATGAGGGTTATGTGAAGTTAACCAAGAGCAACCTAAAACCAGTGGAGCGTGCTTAACGGGAAAGATAAAAAAAAGACATAATTTCTCTATGTGTGGCAGTATGCCCTGCGGACTTTGAACACACCATAC